CTTAGAAACTTTGAGTCTGGAAGCAGCCTGCCTCGCAGTGTAGCCTTCTGCTGCAAGGATTAAACCAGGATTTAAAAATGCATATTTTTAAAAAAATATCTCAATTTTTTCCAGAGCTGCATTTCACAGTAAGCTGTCTTAAGGCGTCTTTTGAGGTGTTGCTTCCGTTTCCTATCGCTGCTCGTCATTGCACTTTTTTTTTTTTTTAACCTACGTCGTTCTTTATCTTGTTCGGCCAGCCCAGATAGACAAAACAAGCTGTTAGCTTATGCTAGTTGCTCACTGACTGCCACAGCGAGATGTTATTCTCAAATAGAGCGAGAGGCTCTGGGATGTAGCTGGGCCATAGAACATTTTTGGACGTACTTATGGGGAAGTAAGCTCACACTACAAACAGACCATAAACCATTCACTAGCATGTTCAATCCAGATAAAGCAACAATGTTACCACCACGAATAGAGAGACTTGGGATGAGATTGCATCCATCTGAGTACACGACTGAACACATCGCAGGAAAATGTAATGTGGCATACTCTCCTTAGAGACTGCCTTTGGCAGTCACAGAAGACAATGAGTATATCGACACATACATGGAGAGAATATTTTCCATTATTAAAAGTGAAATACCGGCCATGACAATTGATGGAATCAGAAAAGGCACAGAAAAGTTGACGCATTGAAAGAACTGATTTTAATCATAGAGATGGGACAATGGCCTAAACTGATTACAGAGTTGAAACCATACAGAAGATGCTCAGATGAGTTATCAATATGCAATGGACTGATTTTGAGAGTGCATAGGATTGTGCTTCCAAAAAGTAATATAAAACAAGCCATGAACATAACACATGAAGCACATCAAACAGTCGTTCAAACCAAACAATTCTTGAGGAATAAATTCTATTGGCCGAACACAGATATTGATATTGGGAGAATGATCAGGAATTGCAATGCTTACATTCTGAATCCATCATTTCTGGAAGATCAACCACTCCCCCCATTTGATTTACCTCCTAAGCCAGGGCTGTTCAAATCACGGTCCTCAAGGGTGGAGCACTGCTGGTTTTCCAGCCTTCCTTTACCTGAGAGACAGTTGTGAAGCCTCTGGCCAATTAGAGCCAGAAATTATTAAGCTAAGTACCTGGGAGACTTGAAAACAAGGCCTGGATTTGGAATCGAGGGCCAGATTTGAACAGGGGGGGTCCTAAGCCATGGACGAAGTTGAGCGTAGATCTGGTAGGTCCAATGCATAACCAATACATACTAACAGTTATAGATTACTACACGTCTTACCCAGATGCAGTAGTCTTATCAGACATATCATCACAAACTGTAATTAGAGAGCTGATGAAAATCTTTGCACAATTTGGGTACCCCCTAGAGGGCGTTATGGATAATGGCAGCCAGTCCGTCACTAATCTCTGAATCCTTTTAGAAGACCTGTAGAATCAAACACATAAAGGCATCTCTGTATTAATCCAAGGAGTAATAGCAGGATCGAACATTTAAATCACTATCTAAGAAAGAGCTGCCAAATCTGAAGGGAAGAATTGTAAAGACTGCGAAAGATTCTTATGGCATATTGCACAACTACCCACAAAGCATCAGGTGAAACCTCAGCTTACCTGATCTTCAGAAGGGACACTCACACAAAGCTCCCAGACTTAGAGAAGGAAGAAAACAGGATATGAGATATAAAAAGACACCATGATGAATACAAAAACAACCTGAAGGAGTATGCAGACCAGAACCACGTCTGACACTTCTTTTGAACTGGTGAACACTGACAATAGAACTCTAGTCATCAAGAATGTCAAACATCTTCGACATGTGCCTCAGCCACTGGAGTTCCCACATCCCTGAACCACTGTCACAACACATGGACATTAGAGGAATTGAGGAAATACAACAGCCACAACAACCACCTGCTGTGGTAATATCAAACAAGTGGCCAGAGGCTTCACAACTGTCTCTCAGGTAAAGGAAGGCTGGAAAACCAGCAGTGCTCCGCCCTTGAGGACCGTGATTTGAACAGCCCTGGCTTAGGAGGTACTGCAAATCAAATGGGGGGAGTGGTTGATCTTCCAGAAATGATGGATTCAGAATGTAAGCATTGCAATTCCTGATCATTCTCTCAATATCAATATCTGTGTTCGGCCAATAGAATTTATTCCTCAAGAATTGTTTGGTTTGAACGACTGTTTGATGTGCTTCATGTGCTATGTTTATGGCTTGTTTTGTGCTCAGAAGGATGTGACTGTGCCAGAATCTCAGCCAGCAGGCCCCAGATCAGGAAGGCTTATCAGGAAACCCTCACGCTTCAAGGACATGATTATGTGAATGGTGTGAAATAAAAAGGTCATAGAATGTGAAAAGAGATCTTATGTTTATTGAAGTGGAAATTTAAGTTGGAAAAAAAGGATTTTCATTTGAAAAGTCTTAAAAGGCTATACCTTTTGTGTTATAACTATCATGGAATGTAAATGTGTTTTTGCAATATTTAAAGTCTACAAAGGGAGGAAATGTAGTAAAGTTAAAAGCTATTGCAAGAGGAGGAGGCAAGGGGCATGCACTGATTACAGTGCATTGTCACATCCACCGCACAACAAACTACCTCAGGGATGAAAATCTCAGTGCAGCCATGTGGTGGGTGACACCAAATGAACCAGTGTGTTTTTTCCCCCCCCAGTGGCTGCAGTGCCAATCCTGCCACCAACCCCAAAGTCTTTCCCCATAAGTTGGAGGATCTCCTTATATATAGAGCTGGATGTAGATTAACATCATACCCAGGACAATGCAATTGCAGGTTAAGGGCCTTGCTCAAGGGTCCAACGGAGTAGAATCACTCCAGGCATTGAGGGGATTTGAACCAGTAACCTTCCAGTTGGTGGCTCAGGTCCCTAACCTCAGAGCCACCACTCTGCCCAAGAAGGTGAGAACAAAGAATGGAACCAGGAAGAGACCAGACTGCATGTGTGTGAGACGATATAGTTGACAATAAAAGAAAGATAGAGATCCATTTCTTTATAGGACAACACAACACATCATCATATATTGATTGTCTATTGTGGCTTACTTGTGGTTTAACATATTAGCATATTTTATCTAGTTGTGTGTTATTTGATCTTGAAACTGCACTGGTACTGCCTATTTGGGGAAAATGGTTGTGTGATCATTAAATCAGAGCTGAATGTTGTTAACATTAATAAAACAAAGGAGATACACAAACCTGCAGTAGCCGTGTTGACTTTCATACCGTGTTTACTTTCACACGCATAACTTTCATATGTACTTCCGTACTCGCTGCCATACCACACTACATCACACACATGCAAACAGCTCCTTTTCACGGTACATTACAATGAACAAGTACAGAATAACAGAAATGGTATATTAAATAAGGATAGCGGCAAAAATCAAAATCATCTTGTGACAAAGATGGAAATAAACATATTTGTAACATTTCATTTTTCATCGGTGGATTGTCATGATGGTGAGAATGTACCGATATTCATATTCATGTTGAAGTTCTTGTATTCATATTCAGAATAGTACTGCGGATTTCAGAGAGGTTTACAATGTAAATTAAATAGGCCATGTTCCTCATTTTTCTTGTTGCGAAAATCATTGCGGGCGTCAACCCCTTTTCATGCTTGATTAATTACGGCTGCATGTTCTATTTTGGATTATGTGTGGTAGGTGTGTCCATGTTTATGGTGTTTATGAGGCGAGAATATGCTAAACTCGGAAGCACTTACTACAATAGCCTCTACATGTCTATCAGTGTTTTTATATCTAAAGACAAGAACCCTGGCATTGCAGATGAAAACTAGCCTTTTGGCTAACTCTACCATATTTACTGTAATGTTGTTAATATACTGTATAGTGTCCCTGTCAAATACACCAGTAAACAGAAATGGACAGAATGCTTTTCATTAAATAATGGAATGTTGCTGATTGCTGCCATTCAGGTTGGGTATTGATGTCGTGTGATCAGGTCCCTTCCTGTGAGCGAGCGTGACCGACCACCGCACAGCTCCGAGACGTTTCCACTTCACAGTCTCTTCTCTTACGGTGGTTCAGATCAGCTCCAACGGGGCAGAAATGTGGCAAACTGGCCCCTTTTAAAGATGGCACCCTACGACAAAAGTATTCAAACACCAATAGTAATTACAGGAACTGACCACATAAGCCACACCCATTGCTGACATGCAGGTGTGTAATTAAGCACACAGCCATGCAATCTCCAGCATCAAACGAGAATACGGAATGGGGGGGGGGGTCATACAGGAGAAGGTAATCAGCGCAGCATCATCATCGGACATCTCTGGACACCTTTTCAAGTCAGTTCTTCACATTGCTGTCCACCTGCCCTGGTCAACCTCAAGTGAAGTGATTGTGACATGGTGTATTGAAATGAACTTTCAGGTGGCTTTGCAGATGGACCACGTCACCAATGTAGCATAGAATTAAAGAAATATTTTCACTGTCCTCTTGTTATTGTAATGATATGGGAAGTTGTGATTGTCCTACTCCACTACTCAGAGTTTGGAGCACCTCCAACTCCACCTAGACATACATAAGAGGTGATTGAGGTATGGATTGATTCTGATCTTGTATGGATTAATCCTGAGATATGTCATCCATGATTCACACATAATATTATTGTGCTTTGGTCAAACTGCACAAAGATATTTTTCATTGGTCACTTATATAACTTGTTTCTCATAGAGAGAGCTAGGAAACCTGTCTTGCCTTTCTCTGGGGACCTTAAGGGACGCTTATCTTGTCTCTCCCAGAGGAAAAGGGAAAGTGTTGCCCAATATGTTGTGTTCTCATAGAAAGCGGTAGAAGACTTGTCTTGTCTTTCTCTGGGGAAAGGGATGCTTTTCCTGTGTTTCCCAGAGGAAAGGGGAAAGAGTTACCCAAAATGCTTTGTAACCGCAAGCGCAAGCAGCCAGCTCGACTCCTGCCCGCACGCGTACCGCTCCCAATTTAATATAAAGGAATGGGGAAAACTACCAGGATTGAAAGGGGCTCCCCAGTCTGTGTGTGAAGGCGGGTGATGATGGCACGTCCGAGTGTGAATAGCTTTGCAACTGCTTGTGCGTTTCTGTCACGATCGGAACAGGGAAGCAAGAGCAGGAAGACGGAGGATTGGGAAATACGGGGTGTAATCGGGAAACAGCAACATAAACCACGAAACTTCAACGCAACGTTAATGACAGGACTGGGGAAAAATACTCTGACGTTGATTTAAATACACCGAACTAATCGGAAATAACACAAAACAGCTGGTAAAGACGGGGAATCCACACAGGGTAGATGAGGGGGCGTGGCACACGGTAGGATACAGTTTCATTGATTATTGGATTTGATTGTCACCGCTTGTGATAATAATTCGCATTTTATATGCATTATTGCTTCTTTTCTATAAAGCCCAGACTTGAATCCGATTGAACATCTCTGGAGAGATCTTAAAATGGCTGTGCTCCGACGCTTCCCATCCAACCTGATGGAGCTTGAGAGGTGCTGCAAAGAGGAATGGGCCAAACTGCCCATGGATAGGTGTGCAAAGCTTGTGGCATCATATTCAAAAAGACTTCAGGCTGTAATCGCTGCCAAAGGTGCATCAACAAAGTACTGAGCGAAGGCTGTGAATACTTATCTACATGTGATTTCTCATTTTTAATGAATTTGCAAAAATTTCAAGTAAACTTTTTTCACGCTGTCATTATGGGGTGTTGTGTGTTGAAGTTTGAGGAAAAAAATTAATTTAATCCATTTTGGAATAAGGCTGTAGCATAACAAAATGTGGAAAAAGTGATACGCTGTAAATACTTTCCAGATGCACTGTATAATCCTTTCGTATCTTTGCACCTATTATTATTGGCTATGATATATAATACTATTTGATATCATTTGTAATACGAGGTTATTTTGCATTGCTTCTCATACAATCCTAATAATCCCCCTCTCGTACTGAAACACATGGAAGCATCTAGGAGCAAGTTCAGCTGCAGCCAGCAATAGGTGTGGCTTATTTAAGTGATTCAGCAAGACTGAAAACGTGTTGTACAGGTGCAGATGAGGCAGCAATGGCAGACGCCCCACCTCTCCCGGAAGTTCCGGGAGTCTCGTGCAAGCTACAGCGGCTCCCGACGCCCACAAATGATGCACAGCGCCCTGGAAATCTGTTGTTTCGCTATTCAGCAGTTGTGAAATTTGTCTGCAAAAGGTTTTACTGTTGCAACTCTACCCCAGATTTTACCACCAATCTCTTATATTTATATATATATATATATATATATATATATATATATATATATATATATATATATATATATATATATATATATATATATATATTACATTACACGGTATTACCATAATACCAGCCAAGCATTGGTCATCACCGCCACCCTGCTAGATGTCCCTCAACTGCCTCCCTCCCTAAGGTGGGATGCCTGGAACGGACTGGTATTGCAATGCAAGTTTCGCAAAGTGAGTGAACTGGTTTTGGTTACATTTCCGGTATTGATGAAGATCAGACTCCACCTTGTGAGCAATGTGGTTTGAATAAAAACAACACATTTTTCTGGACAATACTTGTGCGCTGCAACCAATACACAGATTGTTTTTCATTGCGTAAATACCAATGTCGATATACTATCCTGCTTAACCAGTACCTGTTAAGCCAGTCAAACGAGTGATGCATTCAAAAATAAACATAATTTCTCATAAGGAAGTTGTTATATTTTAATATTTACCATTTCAAAATTAATATTAAAAGAAAACATTTAAATTTTCAAAGATGATGTGACATTAATCATCCGTCCATTTTCTGAAACTACTTGTCCTATTCAGGATTGTGGGGGATTTGGAGCCTATGGGCATGAGGCAGGACTGCAGGGGGAAACTGGAGAACCTGGAGGAAACCCCACAACAACATGGGGAGAACCTGCAAACTCCACACACAGAGCCATGGCAGAGACTCGAACCCTGGTCCCAGAGGTGCGAGGCAGCAGTGCTAACCACTGCACCTCCCCCAGTGTTTATTGTGTTCCTGTAAATAAGTATTTGTTTAAATAATGATACTAATTTCATCCATTCAATTTCTGTAACCACTTGTCCTGTTCAGGGTTGGGGGGGGGGAACATATCTCAGAAGCTAAGGGCGCAAGACAGGGAGTAACTCAGGATGGGGCGCCAACCAATCGCAGTCAATCAGATTATACTAATTAAAATAATGAAAACAAAACTTCTAATAATTTTAACCTCATTTACTCCCGTTCACTGGGATAATCAGCCTTGCATCCTGGTCTANGACTCGAACCCTGGTCCCAGAGGTGCGAGGCAGCAGTGCTAACCACTGCACCTCCCCCAGTGTTTATTGTGTTCCTGTAAATAAGTATTTGTTTATTCATTTTGACTTATTTCCACCATTTAATTGAAGTAACCACTCCTCTTCAGCGTGGGGGGGGGGGGGTCCGGAGCCTATCCCACAGACTACAGGCGTAAGGCAGGGAACAACCCAGGATGGGGCACCAACCCATCACAGGGCATTTCATTATACTAATTAAAATAATGAAAACAAAACTTCTAATAATTTTAACCTCATTTACTCCCGTTCACTGGGATAATCAGCCTTGCATCCTGGTCTAGGTCACAGGGGGGCCTGGAGTCCACAGGCGGCACAGAACACGAGGCCGGTATCATTCATAATGGCAAACTACACGTGTGTCTTTGGATTGCTGCAGGAAACTGGAGTATCCAGAGGAAGCTCATTACATGAGAACATGCACACTGCATAGAGACAGAGCAAAGGCAAGATTCAAACCGCCAACCTTGGAGACAATGGTGATATGCACTGAGCATCAAACACAGACAATAATACACGTAATACATTCTGAAATTGCTTATACCCAATACTACTTGTACTATTGAAAATATAAGTATTTGACTTCAAACTTAAATAATTATGATACAAGCACCTTATGAATCCCTGTAACAATGCATTAGCTAATAATCTGGCATAACATAATAACTTGACTAGGTGTCAATGAAGACATTCATTTTTTTTTATTACGTAATGCACAGTATTACATTTTCATAATTAAAAAGTAAAACTCCTGCATTTTGTAATTACCACCGCAATATGTAATAATTAATTGACAAATGCTGCGAAATTCACTACATATTGCATTTAGAAAATGCAGGTGCTTCAGATAATGGAGAGATTAATTTTGTTATTGTATGAGTTATTATTACATAATGCGCCGTAACACCCTACTTTCCTGTACATGACATTCAAGTCATTTAACCATGAAATATCCTACATAACATTTTGCTTTTCATAAGCAAACAAAACAAACAAAATCCTGCTGCATACTTTCAGTTCTGTATCATAAACAGACCTGCAGGCGCTGTATTGGCATTTCAGGTTAGAAGGGAATAAGAACATAATGAGTTTACCATACCTGCCCTGCCATGGCAATTACTGATTATTTACTCACATATGATCAGTTTAAACCTATGTTGAAAATGTATTACAACAAGGTCTCGTTACCCTTGCCCGGACTAGGGTCACCGGGGCCCCACCCTGGAGCCAGGCCTGGGGGAGGGGCCCGTTGGTGAGTGCCTGGTGGCCGGGCCTTGGCCCGTGGGAACCGGCCGGGACCAGCCTGAAAGAGGTACATGGGACTGTCCCCAGGTGGGCCCACCACCCGCAAGGGGAATGCCAGGAGTTTGGTGCGATGGGTTGGGTGGCAGTCAAGGGAGACCCTGATGGACTGATCCCCGGCTGACTAAACTGGCTTTCAGGACATGGAATGTCACCTCTCTGGTGGGGAAGGAGCCTGAGCTTGTGCATGAGGTAGAGAGATATCAGTAGAGGGCTCACCTCAACGCATAGCGTGGGCTCTGGAACCAATCTCCTGAAGAGGGGCTGGATGCTCTTTTCTTCTGGAGTTGCAGCGGGTGAGCTACACCGGGCTAGGCTGGGGCTACTGAGGGTGCACCACCAGCTCGGTGCATTAACAATGGCGTTTATCCCGGCTGTCTCCCTGATCCTTCAGATCGGGGAGAGGTCTCTGACTGTCATTTGCGCCTATGCGCCGAATGACAGTTTGGAGTACCCAGCCTTCTTGGACTCCCTGAGTGGTGTGCTGGTTAGTGCACCACGAGGGGATTCCATCATTTTGCTGGGGGACTTCAACGCTCACGTGGGCAACGACATTGTGGCCTGGAGGGGGGTGATTGGGAGGAACGGACTCCCTGATCTGAACTCGAGTGGTGTTCTGTTGTTGGACTTCTGTGCAATGTATGGTTTGTCCATAACGAACACCATGTCCGAGCATAAGGGTGTCCATGGTACGAACATACAGGGGCTACAGGTCGATGATCGATTTTATAGGCCTTCTGTCTTTATATTACCATAAAAGTAATATAAAAGTGCCCATGACAGTACCCCCCCACCATCTAGGGACTGGGGGGGCAGGGAGGTCAGTTAAGAATTTATGTGGGGAGAGACGGAAAGCCCAAATA